TCCAGTGTAAAACTAAAGTGTTTTGGTGTATTATGGTGATTTAGTGTTTTATTTTGCTAACTATGATGATTAAATAATAGAAAAACATAAAAATTAATATTTTATCTACACTAAGTCCCCGGATTGTTTTTACAAGAGGAAAAACTTTTTAATTATATTGGCATTTTGAAAAAAATGCATTCTTCATAAAAAAAATTGTTTGTTCTAAAATGGTTAATTCCATTTATACTTTTCCAAATTTTGATACCGTTTTAGAGAAAATAAAAAAAAACAGGAATATACGGTTGAATTCCATAAATTCTAAAATTATAATTTCGATTTCATTCTTTGATAGACGGTTATCAAATGGTTATTATTAATTTTGATTACCTATACACATATAGTCACAGATACTACGCATGCAGCAAATTGCAGATTATTTTGGAATTATTTTCAGTACAAAATAAATGTTTTTTTTCAGTGCTGTCAATATAAGTATACATATTATTTATATTATTATTTTAATATACTGAACGCTTATTATGTATTAGCATAGTCAATAAAATTAAATAGAAAAAAAAACTCTAGATTGCTATAATTATTAATCTACATTATTATGCTACGTTTAAAAAGTGCTTTATTAAAAAAAAAAAATATTAATAATTAATAATTAATATTAAATATTAATAATATTAATAATTTATTAAATTCGGAAAATTAAAAGAAGCGTGTCCAAGTTTCTTCTTTTTTTGAATTTTAAATGCTGTAGCTCCATATCATGTTTATAATAGGTTTTATAACATTCCATTAAAACTGCGTAGGCCATAAAAAGGCCCTTTTAGCCTCCGTAATTATAACTATAGAATCAACAAAAAAAAGAATATCAAAGTACAGGATATTAAATATTGTAATGTATTCTACGACATAAAGCATCTTCCTTCTAAAGAGAAAAAGATAAGACATAAAGCTTATTTTAATAATCAGCATTCTTCGATAAAATATATGCCTACTATTACTATTAATAGACTAACTTGATATTTTTAAGAAATTATGATGACGACAGCCGTTACTCGCTGACGAGTATTCGACACACATAAAGAAGATGGTCACGCAAGGCGTTTTCTTTCATGAGCTTTTCTGTGACTGAAAAGCCGGATACGTGATGTTATCTGCCTACCGCACTCCGGACATTCAAAAATCTCATTGCTTTGTTACCTGTTTACTTTTTGGTTGCCGCTGTTAACTGAGTTTACAACCCTTCTCCATTGAGTTCTATTGTGAGCTGCTTTTTTCCACTCATTCTGCATGTTAATTCCCCTTAAATTTTCGTGGAAAATGTCCTTGTACCTTTTCAGTTGTCCACCCGGCCTCCTCTTACCGTCTACAAACTCACCGTAAAGCAGAGATTTTGGTATGCGGTTTTCTTGCATTCTGCATACGTGACCAGCCCATCTTAAGCGGGATTTTGTGTTGTTGATTCTATAGTTAGCGGCTTTGGGTTGTTGATTCTATAGTTACAATTACGGAGGCTAAAAGGCCTTTTTATGGCCTACGCAGTTTTAATGGAATGTTATAAAACCTATTATAAATATGATATGAAGCTACAGCATTTAAAATTCAAAAAAAAGAAACACTTCTTTTAATTTTCTGAATTTAATAAATTATTAATATTATTAATATTTAATATTAATTATTAATTATTAATATATATTTTTTTTGAACTATTTCATTTTTTTTGAAAACTGAACTTAAAAGTGTTTTGGTGTATTGTGGTGATTTAGTGTTTTATTTTGCTGTGTAACACCAAAGGTTCCAACCCTCAACTGTAATCATCATAGTTAATTGACGATGTTTTTTTTTAAATATACCTGGTGTATGGAGGATTTTGCAACTTTCTTTATTAGAAAAAATATTTAAAATATAATTTGGTTTAGATATTAAATTCTTCTGGGTTTAAGATCCATGGACATCAAGTTTATTAGTGATATATTCGTACACAAATTTAACCAACAACAAAAAAACACCTGACATTTAAAGAGGTATATACAAGGTGTTTCAAAAAACATGTGCCATCTTTCGTTGTATTCCTCACGTAAAAATAAGATTTATTTTTCACTAGCACAGACCCGGCTACGCGTTGCTGTGGCTAAGGTAAGCATTAAATTATATTACAGTAAACTATTCCCCAATACATTGCAGTGAAATCGTTAATTAATATACCGGGTGCGTCTCAGAAGTTGCTCACCCCTATAACTTTTTAATTTTTTCAGATAAAAAAAAACGAGATTTCGTATTTGGTTTGTTAGTATATGACGTAAATTAGGGATTGATTGGCGTATTCAATTATTTTCAGTCACTTCCTGTTTTACCGGAGATGACTAGAACTTTTTATTTTTAAATGGCACCCTCCGTATTTTTTACTTTATTCTAGAATTTGACAATGACAACTTCACGTTTCTGCTGGTACCATTTGATCGAAAAGAATTCAAGAATGATCAATGACATTTCCCCTATAAATTTACATATAAAATGACAGCGATCTTCATTTCATAGCCATCACTGACGCCATTTTTTTTTCGGTCATACAGTGTTTTAATTATAGCTTTCTCTAGGTCGTATTATAAATTTTACTAATTTGAAGGTAGATTTTTGCAAATAACTTCTTCTAAAAAGCCTAACACAGCTTTTGCAGAAAATTATATACATATAGGGAGATAATATTAATTTAATCTTTACAAGATTTACATGGGATTTCCTATGTCCCGTTTTCCGATACAGCACACGGTATATAGTATGTCCGCGGATTGTCTTTACAAGAGGAAATAGGTACTTTTTTATTATTGACATTTTGAGAAAAATGCATTCTGCATAAAAAAAATTTGCTTGTGTTAAAATTGTTAATTCCTTTTATACTTTTCCAAATTTCCATACCGTTTTAAGGAAAATTAAAAAAAAACATGAAAATATGGTTGAACTGATATTTAAAAAATTGAATTATTTTTTAATCGACGATTAACTTTAACATTGTCAACACGTTTAAATAGTTTAACACACACTTCTTAAAGCTATATAATTTTCCACAATACGTTTTGCAGTTGAAAAATATTAATTTCAAAATAAATGCCGGTGAAATTGGATGGGAATTCATTTAGGGGGAGTCGTTAGATAAAGTAAAGAATTTTGCTCTGTTTTTTTGTCCTCAAACAGATATCTTGGTCCATAAAATGGATGATTTCACAAAGCCCATTTTAGTTCGTAGCAGTTTTATGTTGATTATTTGAACATAATTTAATGTTCTATGACACTATGCAAGGCACTATGACACCCTCCATTTTACAGGACCTAGAGAGTAAGGTAATCTGTCTTCCCAATGATAAAAAGAGTAACATACCTACTGGAAACGAGTTTCTCAATTCTCTATATGGGCTGAATCAATCAGTAAAATTTTTCTCAGCAAGCTCTGCAGCTAATATTTTCCGAGATACAGCAGAGAGGCATTCTAACCATTCTACCTTCTACCCGGTACCGTTGATTGAAAGAATTAGGAAGATACCTGTGAAAGATACGCAATCTAATGGGCAAATATGTGATAAGGATGATTTGATTTCCTCTAACGCCTCAAGTGCTGCACAGTGAGCCTCTACTCGTTCTGCGGCCAACGCATGAAACATTCATTTTCTCAAATTCGGCAAACGAAGGCATATCGAAGACTGGTGTGGAACTGAAAACGACAGTGTTGCCATATGTTATCGATATGGTTATCGATCATCATTTCCAAGCCAACTTTGCGCTGTTTTTTTTCGATCATCTCTCTTTATTCCTTCACTCTACGTGAGAGTATGGTGACATCATATCTTGATTCCCCTCACTTCCTCGGACCAAGTTGTTCGACATTGTACCATATTACGATCATACGGTTATATTATTAATAATATCAACTATTAGATATAACAAAAGAGCGAAAATACGATATATATTTTTATAAATACACTTTTTAACTCTTAAACAGGCAGTATTTATAATATAGAAAATACAAATAATTCGTTTTCTAACAAACAAATTGTCTGATTATTTGACACTTAATATCAAAGGAAGCTAGATAAAATCAAGAAAAATATACATTTTCAAACTAAATCTTAAATAACTTAAAAACGATTTATTTCAGGTATAAAAACTGTATAGTTAAAAGATATAAAATGTATAGTTAAAAAGTAACGAATTGAAAAACCTTTTCACTAGTGAAGAAATAAAAAATGTGGGTTTACATTTGAAAAAAATTATGTATGATAATTTTTTAATCGCTCAATTCCATGACAGCTACCGCCCTTATTATATAACATTTGAACAATTTAATTCTTGAAATAGATAGCCACCTGTCTTCTCTTTATGGCACAGTGACTGTGGTAATCACTAAATTTGACATTTAGACTATACACGTTTTTTTGACAGGTAGTTTTTTTCATCCAAAAATATTAAATATTTTTTTTTCTCAAAACCTGTTAATGTTAAGTATAGGATGTTATATCAAAATTCATAAAATTTTGCAGAGAATTTAAGTATGAAGTAAAAAATGGGCGCACCCATTTAAAATAAGAAAGTTCCTGTCAACTCTCGGTATTTCCGGTAATGCTGCCATATTGAAAATATTTTTAATCGATAGATTTCATTGTAAAATAATGATGTGAAAATAAGTTCCGATCTAGATATTGTGGTTCTCTAGAAACTACTAATGCACGCTTAGCACGGGACACCCTCTATACATTTTTTTATTAAAATATTTAGTGTTAATTCCCTTCTAATGATCAGTAGATTTAATTATAGTAATTAAATAATTATAATTATAATAATTATTATAGTAGATAGTAATTTTTTATGTTTTAAAAAAATATTATATTAGGCGATGAAAGAGATAAACTCAATTTATCTTATGGTAGCCGGTATATATCAATGCAATAAACCTGCATTTTCTCACCAAATTCAAGGCAAAATTGCAATTTATCTGTTAAAGTATTGCATTCTAAGGTCAACTCGACCCAATACAACGTTCTATATATTATTATCTGACTTCAATTAAATGTGCAAGACCGCCAAGAATTGTTATTGTTACCTATCGTTTGTTTATACTAAAGCAAAATATCTAATAAGCAATAATTCATAATTAGAACAATTGTATATATAACTAAAACTCCGAATTACCCAGACAGACTTTACATAGTTCCTGTTGTAATTTTTTTCGCTCTCAAAATGCACATTAAACGAATAATTTTTGCCATATTTCTTCAAGTTAAAGTGTCTCTAAGTCAGAAAGACTTCAGCCAAGTTTTTCCCGAAATTTTTCATATGGAAAACTACGAAAAGTGTGTGGATAAGCAAGAAAATATTTATTGTAATGTGAACATGGAAATAATACCTTCTACTGGAGATATATCTACGTGGAAACATTTTGAGGTAACTCTATATTATTTTTTTACTATTTTCTTTATACAAAAAAAAACATATTTTAGGGCATGTTACATCAAAATTTGAACTATAACAGATCAAAAATTCATAGGGGTGTATGTATACCGTCACATTTGACAGATTTCGATACTAAGAAACGCAATATTGAAGAAAAAATTTCTAAAGAAATGAAACACTATAAAATAAATTGCACTGTTTTGAGCTTATCTTGCAAAGATGAAAATGTATTTATTATAACTTGGAAAGACTTATTTCTGTATGTTTGTAAAATTAAATTTGTTAAGTTTCTTACTTATTTTTATATATTTTTTAGTATGGTTTTTGCGGGTTATTTGGCATTAGTAATGTATGCAACATTGTTAGACAATTTTAAAGAAAAATATCATAAAGGTAAGAGTTTCTAGGCATTATACAGGGTTGTTCACCACATACGACACGGAGTATTGTAGCTAAACGATTAGATTTTTACAAATTGTAAGTTTTGGGTTCGTTGAAGGACTGTCAGAGTTACATATTAAAATATTTTTACATGATACTCTGTATCATGTAAAAATTAATAAATTTAAAAGTAATAATTTTAAAAGATACAGAGTGTCCCAAATAAGTAAAAAATATTATATTTTTAAATGGAACACCCTTTATATTATTCTATTTTTAGATTCTATGATTGAAACAAATGTAAATTTGATTAACGTTTATCACCTTAAACCTTACCGTTTTTGAAATATTTTCAATTTTGTGAGTAAATTCAATTTTTTCAATTTTGTGAGTTTCAATTTTGCAGTAAAAAATTTAATGCTTTATTTCTACAAGGGTATCAAAGTTCTTAATACTAAATATTTACCGAAGATTATTTATTGATCAGATATTGTGTTGCAATAATAAAAATTATACTACCTTATACAGAGTGTCCAAAAATGTATCTATATTAAATAATTACTAGATTTAAACGGCAATAACTTGTTTAATTTAAATAGAACGCCCTGTATATTTTACGAGATTCAGATGCAAAATTTAATTGTCAATCAAGTTGCATTATATCATTTATTCCTACCTCTTCAAGTTTTCGTAGAAAATGCATTTTCTTATAGTTTAGACCTCATTTATCACTATACCCATGGAATATTGACATTTTAGATTATCGATACTAATATATAAAATCCTTAAGTGACTGACATACAGATTAATCACGATCCTGCTCAAACCACTCAACGTAAGAAGCTCAATTTTGGCATACAGGTTGATTCTAGGGTGTAGAGGTTTGATAAGAAGGGATTTTTCGAAACTCCTGTTCCAAGAGGGTGAAACCACCCCTCAAATATTACAATATTTTTTATTTAAAAAACGGTTAAGTTTCCGAAAAAACGCTTAAACACGTATATTTTATTTTGTTTTTTTTACATATTTTAAGATTTTTTAAAAATGTACAGTGTGTCCCATTTTAGTTGGAATCATAGGGTATCTCCGTTATTAGTGAAGATAAAAGGGTGCGTTTTGCACAAACCTGTCCCACTTTTTCGTCAAACGGAAGATGCTGCAAACAAAATTTTCATAGCCCTCTTCATTTCTGAGCTACAGGGTCTTTTCGAAAATTTTACAATTTGGGACACCCCCTGTATCTCTGTTATTGTTAAAGGTATCGAGAAGGCGAAAACTGCTTATTGTAGAACTTTTTACGTAGAATACAGTGGCGGAGTCTGTTTTTCTAAAAAAAAATATTTTTGAAAATATGAACTAAAGTTATGTTTTTTCAAATGGAACACCCTGTATATTTATAAATCATATGATCTGTCTTGCTATGAGCTTCTCAAAAATATATATCACTCTATATTTATTTTCACTATTTACTGCAATATTTAAAATATATCATTTTCTTATTAGTAGGCCGTGATAAATAACAAAAAATCAAAATGGTATTTACTAAAATAGTCATACACATATTAAAATTTATTTGGGATTGATATATTTTACTTTTGAAATAACTGTTACCACTGAAACTGTGAATATATTTTTCTTTTTTTTATAACGGGATGGGTTTGCAAATATCTAAATCTTGAATTATTAAAGCATTTTTCAGGTGTTCGATATTGTTGTAGTGCCCACGATATATGTCGTATTTCAAAAATCCCCAAAATCAGAAATCGAGAACGGCGAAATCCGGGAATCGAGGAGGCTATCATTATGCGTTCATTGGTTCCAATTCATTGATTTGAAAAATAATAATTTAACAGTATTCTAATATTTCCATAATTATGAGGGGGAATGTTTCCCATCTTGCTGAAAGTATATTTCACGTAAATTAGCTAAAGGAATGTCTAAAATTTCCGATACGATAGATTATTCTTACGTATACACGTATTCCAAGATTTACAAATAGCGGTAGAGAGTTAAGTTTCCCTAATATATAAAGAATTTATTAGCGGCTCCCAAAATAAAACAAGAGACAGATAGCAGTATACTTTTAATAATTCTTTAGTTTATTTTATTATCAATCATGGCCTACTAATAAATATGATCTTTTAATAAAAACTTTTAAATATTGCAGTAAATACTGAAAATAAATATAGAGTGATATATATTTTTCAGAAGCCTATGGCAAGACAGATTATATGATTTATAAATATACAGGGTGTTCCATTTAATAAAACATAACTTTAGTTCATATTTTCAAAAATATTTCTTTGGTAGAAAAACAGACTACGGGACTGTATTCTACGTAAAAAGTTCTACAATAAACAGTTTTAACCTTCTCGATAGCTTTAACAATAACAGAGATACAGGAGGTGCCCAAATTGCAAAATTTTCAAAAAGACCCTGTAGCTCGGAAACGAAGAGGGCTATGAAAATTTTGTTTACGGCATCTTCCGTTTGACAAAAAAGTGAGACAGGTTTGTGCAAACCGCACCCTTCAATCTTCACTAATAACGGAGATACCGTATGATTTCAACCAAAATGGGACACCCTGTATACAGGGTGTTTCGAAAAATCTGGTCATCGATTAATCACGATCCTGCTTAAAGCGCTTGACTTTTATTTTGTTGTTTTACATATTTTATAAATTTTTACAGGGTCTTTCATAAAATATGACCATTGAGTAATCACGATTCTGCTTAAACTGCTTGACGTTTAAAGCTGATTTTTGACAAACTGATTGACTGTGGGGTGTAGAGGTTCGATAAGGAGGGGTTTCTCGAATCTCAAATTCCAAGAGGGTGTAAACGCCCCTCAAATATTACAATATTTGTTATTTAAAAAACGCTTAGTCTGTCGGGAACACGCTTGGACAAGCATAATTTATTTGGTTTTTTTACATATTTAATTACATTTTTTTAAAAAATCATACAGGGTGTTCCAAAATGTTGGGTAATTTCTTCACCACGATTCTGCTTAAACAGTTTGATGTAAAAAGCTTATTTTTGGCAAAATAATAATATCGCAATATTGTTTTTTCTCATGCTGACATAAATGTGAGAAAATTTTATCCAGTGTGTATGTTAATGGAAATTCTTGCTTTGCTTTATCATCACCATTACCAATGGTTAATTCGAAGCGAACGAAGTCGCTGGTACACGCTAGTTTTTAAATATAACAAAGTACAGATACTAATATTGTCGATATAGTTCGCTTATTTCATTAAAAAATATAAAAAAAACTGTTTAAATATTTTTGTTAAAGATGACCAATTAATATGACCCCAGTATTCAAACTACATTAATTGCCTGTTTAGGCTGATTAATAATAATTGCTCCAGATTCTAAAAAACTGAATTTTGTATGTATATTAGACAGTCTGGTAAAAAGTAGCATCTTTTATTTCATTTTGGCGAATGCTTATTTATAACAATAGAGACGTTTATTTTTATAACTAATTATTATATCGATTTCTGAGTCAAATCCACATTTATTTAGAATAATTAAAACAATTAAATATGTAATTAACTAATTTTTGGGCGGAAATAATGGCGGTATATTTAATTGGTAAAGTCTTTTACAAAGATTTAAATAGTTTTCTTTTTGTAAACAAATGGGCTTGCAATATTATTATTTTTACCACCTGTACATTTTGTACATATTATATGTTGTTTGAAAAACATCTAAAATGTCAGTATTCCATGGGTATAGTGATAAATGAAATCTAAATTATGAGAAAATGCATTTTCTACGAAAACTTGAAGAAGTAAGTAAAATAAGGTTTAATACAATTTGATAGACAATTAAATTGTGCATCTGATTCATCTAAAATATACAGGGTGTTCCATTTAAATTAAACAAGTTACTGCCGTTTAAATCTAGTAATTATTTAACATAAATTTTTGGACACTCTGTATAAGGTAGTATAATTTTTATTATTGCAACACAATATCTGATCAATAAATAATCTTCAGTAAATATTTAGTATTACAAGACTTTGATACCCTTGGAGAAATGAAGCCTTAAATTTTTAACTGCACTTTCACAAAATTCAAAATATTTAAAATACGGTAAGGTTTAAGTGTGATAAACCTTAATCAAATTTACCTTTATTTTAATCGTAGAATCTAAAAAGGCAATAATATACAATGTAGAATGTAGAATGTTTAGGAGGGGAGTTAATCACCGCGACCTTATAGATCTATTGTGTTCCCCTTTCTTGAGTCATAACGAGTTATAACTCATCATACAGTCTCAGGGCTTTAAGAAAAGCCAGTATCTGAGACGGCTCCACAGAGGCCAGCTCTCCATCCTCGACATCAGACGTACCAAAGTTCATGGCACGAATGGTCGTCGTCTCGGCGCACTCAGTGATAAGGTGTTCTGGTGTTTCCCCATTTTCCCCACAAAATCTGCATTCGCCGTTGTTTCTCAGTTTCAGCCTACTGAGGTGTTCGTTGAGGAGACAGTGTCCTGTTAGAAACCCCGTGACAATCCGAAGATTGTTTTTACTTAAATCAAGGAAAACCTTTGATTTTTCTCGGTCATAAGTTCTAAGGAACTTTTTCGAGTGTATAATATACAAGGTGTTACATTTAAAAAAATACAACTATAATATTTTTTACTTGTTTGGGACACTCTGTATCTTTTAAAATTATTTTTGAATTGTAGCTCTAATAGTCCTCCAACGAATCCAAAACTTACAATTTGTAAAAATCTAATCGTTTAGCTACAATACTCCATGTCGTATATCGTGAACAACCCTGTAGTGTAGAGTGACTGTTTCACAAAATCCCTAGTTACAATTTCCCTTTTTTAGATCCATGGTTCCATTATCTATCTTTGACCAGAAACTTTCGACTGATTACTAGTGATAAGAATCCCGATTACCAGAAATTAAAATCTATTCAAGGTTTTCGCACACTCTATACATGTTTAGTTATAGTATGTCATACATTTATGTCATGGGGAAATTTTTACATAAATAACACCACCAAGATGGAAGAGGTAATTTTTGAATTATTATATTAGAGTACTATACCATAGATACATTCGTATCTGCCTTCATCTTGTAACTTACATTTAAAATAGTAATAATAACGTGTGGTACAGGGTGGCCCATTTTTTTTTGTGTTTTAGGGAGTTTCTCGTTTACGAGAGCTACAAATACAAAGATGCGGTTTTCATAATCATTGTGCTTTTTTATAAAACTAAACATGCTACACACAGATTTTTTCTAGCCTGCTTGTTTTCTGAAATACAGGGCGAATTTGAAAATGTTGCATTTTTCGACCCCTTTTGTATATCGGTTATTCTATCGTATGATCGAAAAAAAACGGCGTCAGCGATGGCTATGGAATGAAGATCGCTGTCATTTTATATGTAAATTTATACAGGGTGACAATTCCAAAAAGGAATAGTATTTAATATTACTTAATAAAATTAATATAATAAATAATTTATAAAATTCTCAAAAAAATAATGCAGTTTATGTAGAATTCTCTAAGAAACACAAAAATGGTAAAAGAAATAGGGGTGCTATTTAAAATTTAGGTAGGTGCCCTGGAGGTCAAGGGGTTGAAAGTAACACGACAACAAATGCCTCAAAAATTGTCCCTCTTGATATGTAAATTGACGACTCGTTTCGCCAAATTTTCATACTATCATCGGCAGAGGCAATATTAAATACTGTTCGTTTTCAAATTGTCACCCTGTACGGGAAATGTCATTGATTTTGAATTTGCATTTGAATTTTCTAGCCCACTGGACGCCATTTTTTTTCGATGATACGGTATAATCTATAGAAAAGGCTCTGAAAATCTGAGTTCCCCGGAGTTTTTCACGTAAAATATAGTGATGGATTAATCAGTTTTCGCTGAGAGCTGTCATTTTCGAAATATGACTCAAATTTATGTTTTTTTTTCACATGCAGGGGGACACCCTGTATATTATTTTTTATTTTATTTGTCTTATTATGGATTTTCTAAATATACAGGGTCCGGCAATAGTGCGTCGGGCATCTGTAGCTCCTAGAATAAAAAACTTTGTTGAATTTTGTTTAAGTGCAAATCTAAAAAGTATGTATCAGGATGTATTTCAGGAAAATATTTTAACTTCTATAGGGTGGCTCAAAAAAGTGTGAGTGAACCTGGATGCTTTTTTTTAAATGGAACACCCTGTATATTATTGTATTTTTGGATTCCTTTCAGATCACTTTACATAACTCTAAGATATGAATAAATATATTACGATAGTTTCAGAGATATTAAAAAATAAATCAAAAATATATATTTTTCAGCCCTTCTTAAAAAAATTATTAAAAGTACAAGAACTGTTCTGAAATCAAAACTATATTAGGTATTTACTTTAGATGGTCTGTTCTTACTTTGCTATAAATAATGGTAATCATAAATAATACAGGATGTTCAATATTCTACGCCAAACTTTCTAAAATATAAAATATTTTTTCTTTGTTTTTTTAAATAGAACACCCTGTATATTATTTTTTATTAGATGGAGAATTAAAAAATGAACATTTTTTGTATTTAGAGTATTTCAAAATTTTTAACGGTTTCGCAGGTACACGCAGTATTATTTCATATGGCGCTTTCAATGGTAAAATACGAGAGAAAAATCATTGATAAAAATTTACTGTGGAAAATACCATATGAAATATAAAACTGCAAATATCTGCGAAACCGTTCAAAATTTTAATATACTTTAAATACAAAAAATGTTCATTTTTTAATTCTCCGTCTACTGAAAAAATAATATACAGGGTGTTCCATTTAAAAAAACGAAGAAAAATTATTTTATATTTTAGAAAATTTGGCGTAGAATTTTGAACATCCTGTATGATTTACGATTTTTATATTTATAGCAAAGTAAGTACAGACCATCCAAAGTAAATACCTAATATAGTTCTGATTTCAGAACAGTTCTTGTATTTTTAATAATTTTTTTTAAAAAGGGCTGAAAAATATATATTTTTGATTTATTTTTTAATATCTCTGAAACTATCGAAATATATTTATTCATATCTTAGGGTTATGTAAAGCGATCTGAAAGAAATCCAAAAATGCAATAATATACAGGGTGTTCCATTTAAAAAAAATCATCCAGGTCCACTCACACTTTCTTGAGCCACCCTATAGAAATTAAAATATTTTCCTGAAATACATCCTGGTAAATACTTTAGGTTTGGACTTAAACAAAATTCTCAATTTTTTTATTCTAGGAGCTACAGATGCCCGACGCACTATTGCCGGACCCTGTATACTATACTCTACAGTGTGGCGCCTCTCATACGACGCGGATGTTCCAAGGAGAACGACAGTTTGTATTGAATTAAAATTTTGTGAGCATTTATAGGTTAATATGAAGCCTTTTTAAAAATATAGAGTTCTACAGGGTGTCCGCAAAAAAAGTTACACATCAACGTTGCTGTAATGGAACAATTCAAAATTTTTTGTAATGGATCACGCTATAATTGGTTTTATATATAAATATATAATATAATAATTGGTTTTCGGATTCTAGCAGAAATAAGGTCGTGAAATATCCAAAATTTGATGTCGAATTAATTATTTGATTGTTTTGATTACCAAATTTAAACCGACCGCCTAAGTTAAAAGTTAAATATGCAATTTTTACGTTGTTAATAACTATAAATTATAGCATATTTTTAGAAAGCTCATAAGAAGACAAATAAAATAAAAAATATACAGGGTATTCTATTAAAAAAACATAAGTTTGCGTCATATTTCAAGAATGACAGCTGCCCGCGAAAATCTAGTTATGCCACTGATTTCTATGGGACTAAGTACACCTTTTCGGATGAGTTATAAGATAACCGAGATACGAATGGGGTCGAAAAATGCAACATTTTCAAATTCGCCCTGTATTTCAGAAACCAAGTGGGTTAGGAAAAGAGGTCTGTGTGCAGCATCTTTAGTTTCATAAAAAAAAGTAGTACAGTGATGTGAATACCGCATTCTTCTACTAATAAACGTGAAACGTCATAAAACACACGAAAGTGGGACCATTGTACAGGGTGGGTCAAATTGGTCGCTTTTAAAGGGAAACACCCTTTTCTATTATAGGAGATAGACAAAAGCTAATATCGGTGTCTGGAGCTCAATTTTTATAAAAAACATGATGGTGAAAACCGCACATCGATATCTGTTATCGTTTCAGAGTTACGGGATGTTTTTCAAAAATGTGCATTTTTAACAAATCACTGTAACTTTTTTGCTATGGAAAATTTTGTATTTTTATCAAAACATTTCCAAAGTACCTTTTTACGTAGAATTTAATGGTTTAAGTATAATTTTTTTAAAATTAATAATTTTAGAATTATTAACCGAAAATTTGATTTTTATATAGGACACCCTGTATATTTTTAATTCAGTGAAAATAAATTAAAATAACCTTTCCAAAAATATAGCATACTTGATATTTTGCTCGATTCTTCTTCGATATATAGAGTTTTTAAAAATTCTAAGGCTGCAAAAATTTGTTGATAACTTCAGTTGTAACTTTTAAGTTGTTTTTAATTAATTAAAAATATACAGGACGTCCCAAATAAAAAATCAATTTTTCTGTTGATGACTCTTAAATGATTAATTTAAAAAAATTATACTTTACGTAAAAAGGTGCTTTGACAATGTTTTCATAAAAAATGTAAAATTTTCCATAGCAAAAAAGATACAGGGATTTGTTAAAAATCCATATTTTTGAAAAACACCCCGTAACTCCGAAACGGTAACAGATCGATGTGCGGTTTTCACTATCATTTTTTTTGAGAAAAATTAAGCTCCAGATACCGATACTAGTTTTCGTCTATCTCCTATCGAAAAGGGTGTTTCCCTTTAAAAGCGTCCAATTCGACCCACCCTGTACATTTTTATGAAAGTTGTATTGTTTTTAGTTATACAGTATGATGATCTTTCGTTTAGTATTAATATTATTCGTATTGATCGTGCAAGCCTTTTTTGTTATATCCTCGTGGCTTTTAACCAATCATATCCTGGAAATGTATAAGAAAAATGGAAAATTCACTCTCAAAGATGCGGCAGTGCTGTTCGTCAACAGGATAGCCAGGTAAAAATAGGTGTTGTCTGGAAAACGGTCTCGTTAAATATTTTTTCTTGCAGGTTTTGGCCTTCGTTGATTGTTATGATTCTAACACTTATCATTACGTCAAGTTACTGTAACGGCGCGTTGACATTTGAGGTGGTCAACATCATCAACAATTCCTGTTCGAATAATTGGTGGGCAACAATTTTCCAAGTAACAAATTTGTTAGAGACTGATCAAGTGGTATATTTTGAAATACTGCTGTATATCTCATAATATACAGGCTTTTACTTTTAATTTTAGTGTAATATTGGTATGTGGTCATTATCCTTAGATACCCAGTACTATTTGATTAACTTGGCAATACTGTATATCTCAATAAATTATAAATGGAGTCTGCCAAAAATCGTAGTTACTCTCTTTTTTGGCCTCTATGCAGTTAATTCCTGGATATTCTATAATAATAATTACCCAACATTGTACTGGATCAACCTAGAGTAAGATTGTAGTATAAAATATGCCATATATACTTTAAAGATTTTTTTTAGGAACACAAAAAGATCCGTATTTTTTTCTAACAAAGACTTGAACTATACTTATTTTGGATTCTTAATAAACTGGGGTTCAAGTTTGGTTGGTGTCATTTTTGGCTATCTATATTTTACAAGAAAACAGCAGCCAAAAATAAAGGTATTATACAATACAGGCTGTCCCAGAAATAAGTGCAAATATTTTAACTGGTAGTATAGTTCAACCCCAGAAACACACCTATGAGTTTTTCCTTCGCGAAAAAAACATTTTTAAAATTCGGAATTTTTTGAAAATTTTTTTGGAAATTTTTTTAGTTTTTATTTAAAAAACATAATTTCTTGATAATATGGCAACATAGGTGGTAGATTAAATTTACAAGAAAGAACGTCCAGAAAAGATCCAGTGGTTCTCAAAATTTAAGCAAAAATATTTTTTTTTGGAAATTTTCAAAGTAAAATAACTCCGTTATTTTGGACTTATTTGAAACACGATAAAGAGAAAATATGTTTCTTTTATCGAGATCTACCACCCCTTAAAATATTTGCACTTATTTCTGGGACACCCTGTATAATCGAGAAAAAAACAGCGTCAGCTATGGGTATCAAAATGAAGATCGCTATCATTTTATATGTAAAATTATATGAGGAATGTGATCGATCGTCATTTCCAAGCCAACTGGGAGCCGTTTTTTCGATCATACGGTACAGTATAGGGTGTTTCAAAAAATAGAGATTCCTCAAGTAAAAGTAAGATTTATTTTTCATATCAATATATGTCCGATTCTGTTTTGTTTCGTAGCTACAGAGTGTTAAATTCATAATATTTTTTCGAAAGTACTTTTAGCGTTTCAAATGAAAATTTGAGAGTAAAAGTTACTATAAATGCAACATATTTTAAAGCTAAAAAAGTGTCGACATATTCACCAGGAACCAGGAACGTACATGTGGGTTATCACTGGAATATTTACAATATCTAAACAATTTATATAATTAATCCAAAGATTATTAAGACTTTAACACCCTGTAGCTACGAAACAAAGCAGAAACGGACCTATGTTGATAGGAAAAATAAATTCCATTTTTACGTGAGGAATCTCCCCACGAGAGATGGCACATATTTTGTAACACCCTGTATAAAAAAAACCTCGGCAGCTCTGGGTATGAAATGAAGATAGCTGTCATTTTATTTGTAAAATTATATTGGGAAAATCATCGATCTTCATTTCCAAGCCAACTGGACGCCGTTTTTTCGATCATAGGGTAGTACCAAACGCCATTATTTACTTTTACTTATATACTTATATCTCTTTAGATCTGGGAAAAATCATTTGAATTTTTTTTCTATGCTCTGCCAGTATTAGTTTATGTTTTGAGTTACCCAGAAGCATCTAGGTTGTTATCTGCTATTTTGGGACCCTTAATGAAATCTTTATATGGACTAGGAGTAGCTAGTGGTATATACGGAATGTCCCGAAACATTATACAGGGTGAGAGAAAAAAACTATGGATATTGTTAGGTTTTTCGTCGGTTCCGTGTGGATAGAAAGTCACAATTTATTTACACACTATTTATTTAACACTAATTAACAAAAACAATAACGATAAAAGACTTATAGAACTTTTTAACGGAGTCCACACGGGTCCGCAACAATATTTATTTTTAATATAAATCTTTTTTGTATTGCAGGATGGCCAAAAAAATTTTTTGAAAACAAGTATGTTGTTTTGTTAGGAAATTTTACTTTTTCCACATACATTTTCCATTTTGGTGTTGTTTTTATGAAAAATTCTCGACTGAGTGGCCTTATCGATATTAATGAGTTCACTGTAGTGAGTTTAGTTACAAGAAAAAATGGATAAAATTTTTAATATGTATTTTTTAGGCAAAATCGCTACTTTTTGACCTGATAGTGTCCTTTACAATTGGAATATGTTCAGCGTTGGTTATAGAACAGCCAGGAATTAATATGAAGAAGTTCTTTTTACCTCAATTAGCAAAAAATGTAAAGAAGCTTACGAACAGTGATAATAAAATCAAATAAATAAATCATTATAATTATTATTTAAGTGGGTCTTACTTTTTATAAGCTGGCAGGCCAAAAGAAAGGTTTAAGAGACCCGATGCCTTTGTTAGATCCTTAATCTTTCATGGATATTCCTGGAATAGCTTTCGTCCAATGCAGGACCCTTAGATAGATAGTCTACTTATACTGTCCTCCAGACCGGAAACTGGCCATTGGGGTTTGCCTTTGACTACAAATAAAATAAAACATTGCCACAATTGGCTTAACAACCAATTAATATACAGTATGTCCCCGGATTGTCTTTATAAGAAAAAAAAATTAACATTGTTTTTGACATTTTACACACGTTTATTATTGACATTTTGAGAAAAAGCATTCTCCATAAAAATTTTTGCTTGTTCTAAAATGTTTAATCCTGTTTATACTTTTCCAAATTTTCATACCATTTTAGAGAAAACTAAAAAAACATGAAAATATTACTATTGAATTTATTTCAATTTGAAGTCCAAAAATAAAAAGGCGTTTCTATGGCAATATCATTTCGATTTCATTCTTTGATAAATTGTTATTGATAGTAATCGCAAAACAGATTCTGATACACGTCATCAATCATATCAACATCGACACTAGAGTCTATAAACCTGCCTAAATAAAATGACATAAATGTTTAAATTTGTTGTATAATTTAAGATACTGAGCAGCTCTTCATTATACCGTATGATCGAGAAAAAACGGCGTCAACGATGGCTATGGAATGAAGATCGCTGTCATTTTACTATATGTAAATTTATATGGGAAATGTCATCGATGTTCATTTCCCAGCCAACTGGACGCCGTTTTTTTTCGATCATACGGTACTTTATAGAGCAAATGATTGTGACAGATATTTTATTTAGATAAAAGCTGCAAAAATTAGTTTAAACCGAATTTTATCATCGCTATGTTGGTCACATTGCGCCGTGTTTAGCAGTCATTATTTGGTATAATATCGTGTTGTTGTTGAGTCTTTGTGTGTAATTCTCGTTTTTTTGCCTATTTTCATAGTCTTTTTTTAAAAACTGCACTTTTAAGCACAAAAAGTTTTTTTAAGATCTAAATTTTCGAATTTTTGTATTGCACTTCTTAAAATTGTGTGTTGAAAATATGCCGAAGCATTTAAACAGTCGAAGCAAAGAGCTTGTAGCTTCCCTGTTTTATTTTAAACTATTTTGAACGAGAACGTGACAATAAAGGTCCTTTATTACCCTTGACTGCAGTCAGAAATATAAGTTTGATTGATAAGCATATTATACCACTTTCAAAGTTAGTTTTTATTAATTTCTGTGATTATTAGTTTGTGCATTAATAGGACCCTCTTTCTTGTTATTACATACATACATACTGCCATTACTCGCTGACGAGTATTCGACACGCATCAAAAGATGGTCACGCAAGGCGTTTTCTTTCATGAGCTTTTCTGTGACTGAAAAGCTCAATACGTGATGTTATTTGCCTATCACACTCCGGACGTTCAAAAATCTCATTGCTTTGTTGCCTCTTTACTTTTTGGTTGTCGCTGTTAACTGAGTTTACAATTCTTCTCCATTGAGTTCTGTTGTGAACTGCTTCTTCCCAATGATTCTGCATGTTAATCCCCTTTACGTTATCGTGGAAAATGTCCTTGTACCTTATGAATTGTCCACCCGGCCTCCTCTTACCGTCTACAAGCTCACCGTAAAGCAGAGATTTTGGTATGCGGTTTTCTTGCATTCTGCATACGTGACCACCCATCTTAAGCCGGATTTTGTAACCATGACTTCAATACTCTTGCAGTTAGCTTTTTCAAGGACCGATACGTTTGAGATATAATGGAACCACTGAGTTCTTAAGAGTTGTCTATGGTGTCTCTGTTGCAACTTGTTTAATGCCTTTATGTGTCGGCGGTACGGCACCCAGGTTTCGCTCCCATATAACATGGTGGGGATTATAATTGCTCGGTACACTGCCAGTTTCGTTTTTGTACTCAAGTCATGATTGTAGAAAACCCTGTTTTTTAATTTGCAGAATGCTCTTGAGGCGCTGCTAATCCTGTGCTGAATTTCAGAGTCGATATTGGCCTTTTCCGAAATCAAACTGCCGAGGTAATTAAATTCCGCTACATATTCCAATAGTTCCTCTCCGATTTTTACAGCATTGTTAACCGGGGTAACGATCTTCCGGGGGAGTGCACATGATTTTGGTTTTGTCGATGTTTAGCTTAAGGCCCAAAGCCTCGTATGCCCAGGTATATGTGTTCAACATTTCTTGTAATTGTTGTAACGTGTTTGCAACTAGAGCGCAGTCATCAGCGTATTGAAGTTCTGTGATGAATTTTGTACGTGTTTTTGCCCTCAGTCTTTTTATGTTGAACAGACCGCCGTCATATCTGTATCTAATGCCCAATCCTCTCTCCTGCAGTTTGCTGTCCACTATAATGGAGAGCGCTGCCATGAACCCTGCCATGAGCGCTGCCATCCCTGCCTAACTTCTGTATTAGTCAGGAGGGGATCGCTCAGTGGTCCATGATGTGATACTCTTGACTGGTTGTTGTTATGGAGGCTTTTACACACTGTAAGAAATTTGTTGTTTGATGAATGCAACATAAAGTTTAGACTGCTGCTCTTTTACTATTTCCTTGGTGGATGGAAAATGTGACATCGAAGAGAGCCTTAAGATGACCAATAAGTTCTTTACTTGCACATATATAGATTTCCGCCGGGATCGCGTCACAGCCAGCTGATTTGTTGTTTTTAAGCTCTTTTATGGATGCCATTATTTCCTGTTCTGTTAATGAGGTATCTAATACATCGAGGCTGTTATACTGAGGTATTGTGTTTAGTGCATCTATATTGGGGTTGTTTTCTTGGTTAAGGATATGGCTGTAATGCCCTTTCCAGCGGTTTCTAATTTGCTCTTCCTCTTTTAGAAGTTCGCCATTTAGTGCCATGATTGGGCAGCTTGCCTTCTTGGTTGGGCCGTATACATCTTTAACAGCCTCAAAGAATTTACCATAATCGTGATGCGTGGCGTACTCTTGAATCTGATTAGCCTTTTGTGACCACCAATCATCCTTTACTTGGCGCAGATTTCTTCGAAGCGTGTTGTTGGCTGCTTTAAAGTTGTTTACCAGCCTTGGATTGTGTGGATTTGCAGTGACTGCTTGATGTGCTCTGTGCTTTATTCCAAGAAGGTCTGTATACGAGGTTGATTTTCGTTAAATCAATCTGGTTATTTCTTTTTGTTGGACTTTCCCAGTACTGCTTCGCTAGTTTTATGAATCGCATCCCTTAATTGTGTCCAGCCTTGTTCAGCTTCCAAGATTGAGATTGAAGTTATCGGTGAAAGTGATTCTTTGACGGCTCCCCGGAGGGCGACGGCGGTATTTTTTGTCTCTAAACCCCGTACGTTCAATCTGGTCATATTGTTTTGCTTTTTACAGTGTCGATGTTTGGGTTTTAACTGGATTTTCATTTTTGAAATTAAAAGACGGTGGTCAGTGCTGCATTCGGCATCTATTCTGGCTTTTGTGAGTTTGACATCTTTTAGATGCGTTCTTCGAACGATTAGGTGGTCCAATTGATGCCAGTGACCTGATCTGGAATGTTTCCAGGTACCTTTAAACTTGTCCTTCAACATGAACCACGTATTGGTGATGCATAGATTATACTCTGTGCATTTTGTTAATAAGCGTTCACCATTGCTATTTACGTTTCCTATTCCATGTTTTCCCAATACGTCAGGCCATATTTCGTGTTGTCTACCGACACGAGCATTAAGGTCACCTAGCAAAATGATTCGTTCGTGCTTTGGAATTCGTCGGAGAGCATTTTGTAGGGCTTGGTAAAATTTATCCTTATCCTCAATTTTAGCGTCTAGGGTGGGAGCGTAGGCACTAATGATGTTGACGTAAGATTTGTCTGATATGGGGTACCTTAGGGTCATAAGACGTTCGGAGACACCAATAGGTACTTCTGTTAATTTGGTGGCGATTTCGTTTTAGATTGCAATGCCTACGCCATGAATTCTCCTGTGTGTGTTGCGGGGTAACCTTTCCAAAAGAAGGTCTAATGCTCCTCAGTTAGACTACCCTCATCCGCGAAGCGGGTTTCGCTAAAAGCGGCAACATCTATATTTAGTCGGTTGAGTTCCTGAGAGACCAGTGCTGTTCTTCTCTCTGGTCGATTTGAGTTTATCTTGTCCAGTAGAGTGCGGACGTTCCACGCCGCAAACGTGAAATATTGATGTTTTTTGTTTCTCTGATGATACGCTCGAGTAGGCACCCCCTCCCGGAGATCCGATTGAGGGGGTATTTTACCTCCGTATGATGATTTTGTCCCACTCGAATGTTCCATCATTGATGTGTGTTAGCTGCGTGAAAAGATTTAACTGTAACAGTTACGCTGCCGCACAGTTTTGGGATGCAACTGTAGCACCGGATGACTATGGCACAGTGAGGACCGCGACAATAGTTCCCTTGTGCCACTTTCTCGGCCGGCTAGGAGTAGTTTACTACTCCTCTCCCCAGAAAGATGGTAGGTCTGAGGATTGTATAAAGTTATACCGCCTATACTCGGACGTCAGAGCCTCGTTTGTGTAAACAGGGTGCACCGCGTGAAGGTGAGGTTGACTTTTGGGTTAGCTAGGCTATATGTATCGCTTCACTACCCCCGCACCCCATCTTGTTATTACCACGTATGGCGTTGTAAGATGTACATCACTAAATAAATAACCATAATAACGCTTATAATAATCTTCATAATGGACTAGTTTTTGCCAATATGTATTAAATTAATTTAATTAGTTATTAAATTAAAAATAAAACGTAAAACTCTTTAAAAAATGATATAATAAATATGTTGTTTGTCAATTTTAAATTAAGATTCATCTCATAAATCCATCACAATCTGGCAGCGCTGTCGCCATCGCTGGTCACTCAAAGTTGATCACGTGCATCGGAAATTGTTTTGCGATTACTATAGAATTTTAATTTATGTCATATTTTTTTGCTGGCTTAAAAATGTTAAA